TTTTTACCAGTGGGTCCTTACCCGAATAAGTTGCGTTCCGTAGTGCTGGAAAAGATGGTCTTTTCTAGCAACACTTCAAATTCTGATAGCGCAGAAAGTGAAAATTGAGAGTTTGCTTTAGTTTCATATTTTACAAACCATTTGATTACCTAGCGACTACTCTTTACTTAGATTTTCCACGAAGTCGTGTTCATGGCTTACCCAAATCGTGTTGACTCACCTTCAAGAATTATAATTTTAAATAGTTCCCAAACTCAATGTAGAGGGTATCTGTTAAGGGTATTGTCCGATCTGTTGAAGCTGACCAAAGAAGATCGCACGAAACGGCTAGTGAAATTACGCCAACAACTTCAAGTTCAGGTATGATTATGATTGAGTCCTGAAGAGAAAAGTTACGGTAGATTCTGCTAAAATAAATGGGGAGTTTCAGGACAACAATTTATCTTTTATCGAGAAAGATCCGTTGAAAAAAGCGATCCTGAAGAAAGGATTGGACATTGTCCGGAAACGAATGAGCACTATGTCGGAGGTCAGTATTCAAGCTCATTGATTTATTGATTCATTGAGTTCTCTTCTGGTAGACTTCATGAACCTCCAAAGAGTAATTTAAGGAGGATGAACCACCATCAAAATCATCAACAGCTGAGGAAGACCTGAATAGGGAGCTGGAAGGCGAGTGGTGTACGGTAGGCGATGTACCGTTGCTTGACAAGGAAGTGGAAAGGGCCGAACGAGCAGTAGAAACGGCTCGTAGTGGCAATATGAGCAGTGAGACCGTGGAGAAAGCTGAGACAAGGTAACTCGTACAAAAATTAGGTTGAAAATCGGCACAATTGAGGGGCGTTTATAGAAAAGCTGAAATGGTTGAGCGGCGGCGGGCGACTGTCACGGCGTTGGACAAGATGAAAGCGGCTGAGGATGGACTGCATAGGTAATGCACCCCTTCCACCCCCAACTAGACTGTGATTGAATAGAGGACCCAATGCAGTGTATAAATATCGATTGACTGTTTGCTTTCCTTCAGCATTGCCACCTCATTGGAAGCTACAAGCAGCAGTGACATATCGCTATGTGGTGCGATCATCGAACTACGGAAGTCTCGAGATCGACTAGCCTCCTACGAAACCCTCAAAAAAGAGGCTGAACGGGCTGCTGAAAGGATGCTCGCACTGGACGACAACGTACCGCAAGCGGTATGGGGTTTATTTATTACATAAACAGTTTCAGGAGTGACCAAGGAAAAAAGATGATATCATTCAACCCTGGTCAATGTGGTTTTAGAATGCGCCTCGCATTCGATTTACACTCGGAAATGTAGCGGTGTTTGAATGCATATGTGGCTTATACTTTGTAGAGTGACTTGCTGTGGTCGACCGACGTTCGCGTCAGTGCTTCCCTCTCAACCCCTCAGATGGTCCCGGTGCCTATTACTAGTCCCAGAGGGATTCAAGATTTGGCTGACCTTAACGTATGAAGGTATGAAGCTGGGATCTAATCGTGTGTCTTAGGTGTGGGATAACAACATTTTACCCATCGGCACTATTTTGATATCCATATGGTAGTTAGAAAGTAATATCGAAGGAATGTCAAGCTCAAATGCCAGCTGTTCGAATGACATTGGGCATCATAACAACCAGGTGTCAGAAAAATTTTCAACGAATAATAAAACTGGAGAAAATGTTGACGATTTCTACTGCTCTCTTACCTGAGATTGAAATGACATATTGTCGAGAAATGGGGTGATTTTGANTCTCCTTCGCTTATTAGATTTTACTACATTACTGCAAGAATCGAATAATGTTTTCAAAGTTTCACAGTGAATTCTACTTTGTTTCCTTTCCGTACTAGTTTGGGACGTCGGCTACAGGTCCTATTTACTAATTGCCAGATCCATGGGCAAGTGACGCACTGCACGCATTCAGGGATCGAACCCTGGATCAGTGTCTGTTCAGGCCAACCTCACCTCCCAACCATTCAGGGTCGGTTAATCAGTACCAAACTTGTCTGGGAGGAAAAAAGTACTGACGTTCACATCGGCTGATCACTGCAGGTCATTGTTTAGGCCAAATACGGCATTAAAAGCGACACTACAGTTTTGAGAAGAAGTCAAATGCGATGGCAAGTTCCAAAACAGAACCAACCTATGATTAAGGCTTTACTCAAGGCTGGATTCTAATACTTAATGTCCATAAGTTCAAATCTCATTGAGAAGTACCAGCTGCTTGATAATTGTTAAAAGAGCGTCAGTTTGTGAAGCGGGAGATGGGATTTGCTCGGAAGATGAGAATGTCTGTGCAGATGGGAACGTTACCAACACATTACTACCGCTACCTTAGCTTGGATTCTCGACTACTCAGGCAAACGAAGGATGAATTGCACCGCACCTCTGATCACCTGCGTAATCAGGCACTGATCAAAAAACTCTACAAATCCGGCAAAAAGCAAATCCTGTAATCCTGTACTTTTGGGAATGAGCCCGGGATCTGGTATTCGATCATTGAACTTCTTTTATGGTAGTGGTCCCAATGCCTGCCCACAACCACTTTCGCAAGAGCGTTCGGTATATTCGAAATGGTTTTTTTCAGGTGCAAACTGCAACTCGTAATCGGATTCGCAAGTTGGGCGAACAATGGCATGAGTTGGAAAACGTAATCGAGGATCATCTGAGCTGTGCACGAAAAGAACATCGGCGGTCTATACAAAGTGAGTTGCAAAGGTTGTTTTACCCACTCCACCACCTGAAACAGGAAAGAAAATTCAGTACGGGAACCGATCGTTACAGTAGCCAGCCAGGTAGTTGAACACAGATTTTCACGAACAACATATTTTATCCCACGACATAATTTTTTTAATACACACATCCTAATGCTGTCACTTATACGGCGAATGGACAAAGTAACCCTGGGTTAAGGCACGGGGCGGATGGATGGGGTGAGTTTGGCTGTGATGCATCACATTTAGGCGTTCGAGCCAGGACCGACAGCCGCATGACTGTGTATCCGGGTTTCTGTACTGATTTTCCATTTCTGTGACGATTATTGGATTCAGGGTACGGTGCTGCAAAGAGAAAATGGTAAGGGGAACAATCATTCCCTCAGTTTCAGGGAATGATTGTCCCCCTCACCTTTCCCCTGACAGCCCAATCCCGCTTATCCCGATCGCCTCTCTCCTTTAGCTCCCTCCCCATTCGCACTCAGTCAATATTTGAACAGATCTCAAGCAGTTTTTTCATCGAACCTCATTTTTTCTCCAGTGCTGACTGCTGTCCTCGGCCCATGTCCTTCACCCTTTTCAATCGTTTTTTATCTTTTTTTTTGATTTTAATCTTTCACCTGGACACAGTACCATTCACATCCAATGTATTCCCACTTTCCTACTACCTGCTTACTATTTCCCCACTCTTCCGTTCGGGCATCTTACACTTTTCACGTTTTATTTAATCTATTTACTTAGCACACTTGAAAGTGCTAATGCCTAACAACAGAGAGAAACACGAACAACGTAATTGTCTGATTCATGTACATGAGAGTGAAAAAAGAGTGTTTGGTCGTTCCCTTTCCTTATTGCTTTCTGATCCTACTTTTTGATTTTTTCTTTTCTCTGCTGCTTTCCTCTTACTTTTTTTGATCAATCCATCTGCATCTTTTTCCATTTCTTTGGTCATCTCGATTACTTTGTTATCCTTGTCATCATCCTCATACTTTTTTACACAGTCTTTCTTACTTGAACTCACTTTTCTGCATATCTACCCATACTTTGAATAGCCACATCTTCAAGTCGCCCTCTTGGTGCAGCTCCTTTCCCTTTACTCTCTTTTGATTGGCTTGCATTGACTATTTTTGGGTTACCTTCCATTCCTTTGCTCTGATAATCAGTAAGTAATTAAATAAAGAAATAAACAGTTACATGAACCGTCTTTCTTCCTCACTAATCGAATATTAGCTTTGTTGGATCATTCCTCTTCAAAATGCTATGACTTGTACATAATCGCCTTTATTTCCGATTCAGCGGTATCTACAGAATCGTTTCTTTTTTCTCTTTTCTTGCCTTTTTTACAACTTCGTCACTATGTCCATCATTTTTTCTATCTTTCTATCTACTTTCTTCAGTTTTTGTTTCTACCCACCTTGATCAGAAGTGGTAGGGGCCAGTGGCGCATTATCACATAGTCATGGTCCTTGGTTGGAATCCCGGAGCAATTCTCGCCTACCAACCATGCTTTCCAGCAGCGGCTCTTCCCGGGCTTGATTGACGTCAAAAACTCGATACTTTTTCACCACTCCTTAAGATTCTTTTTGAGTGTCCCATTCTACTGAATAATTCCTCGCTTTCAGTCATTTTCATATAGAGCAGTCATTTTCATATAGAGTCCCTTGAAACTCTGATTTCCGGTGGCACTACTTCTATCTAAAATTCTTCGATAATGATCTAATCCCACTACTCTGCTATCCAATGTTGTCGATAGTTCTCCTCTAAGTTGTAACTCCAGTTTTTCCTTCCCATTCAGGTTCGTACCACCTGTATGATTGATGTTTCCTCATACTCCATTGCTCATTTTATCGCCAGTACTTTTTATAGCTCGCCGCACCCTTCTACTCGTTCAGTTGTCGCCGTCGGCCGAATAGCCTGCCTAGTACTACTTTTTTTTGATTCCTCTGATTCGTAGAAATATCATCCGATTGCCTTTTATCTCCTCTTACTTCTAATGTCTCTTCCTTAGTATCCGTACCATCTCTTTTTCACTTTTTCTTTTTCTTAAATGGTTAAAATGAAGGCAAGAAGGAGGGCTAACTAAGCCTGCAGTGCCATGTAAGTGATCCTCGGTCACTAACATCATCCAGTACGTTTCTGAAAAATGTTGAGGTTCAATGTTTTTGACACCAATTCCCCTTTTTTCATGTCCCCACTTCCATTCGGGATTGTAGTGGCATTTGGAATTCGTATGGGCTATACAGTAATTTGGAGTAGGGGCACAATGAATCCAACTGATATTCAAGCGAGTGTTTTACTTTTCCTAGACGATTCTGGCCACCAATTAAAGGAAGCAGAGGAAATGAATGACTCGGATGGACTGGACAGGAAACAGTTCAGAGCTCGATACTCAGACCCTGCGCGTGAAAGTGCGCCCCTTGGCACTGCCTCACCCTCGCCCATCTCTCTACCTACTACTCCTTCTAATTTTCTGTACAATCCTGCGTTCAAGAGGCTTTTCCTGATTTACCAAGGAATCACATATCACTATTTATTACCGCCCATAATCATCTATCAATCTAGAAGCGATCAGTACCGAAGAACGACTTCTGGAACAACTCGAAAAACGTCTGACTGACAGCGAACGTCCCTCGGACGCTGAGGAATGCTGCGAGCATCTTGACGTAAGTCTGCAGTTCTACATATTCAGTCCTTTCAAAGTTTTCTGTGAATCCCTCTGAAAAAGTTTTGATCGATATTCCTCTACAGAACTTGGAGAGCCTTCTGGAGAAAGTAAGTTCACCTCTGGAAGTCGACGAAGAGGCTACATCGATGGACGAGTCGTTCGTACGTGATTCGTTCGCACGACTGAACGAATCGCGGCAACGACTGGCAGAAGCGGCACGCGAGCGAATCGCTGAGCTGTCGCGTGCGGTCGCCGACTGTGAACGATTTGAAAAGCAGATGGCGGATATGCAACAATGGTCGTCGCATGTGTCATCGCTTCTCGATCTCAGGAAATCCGGTGATGTCTCAGCTCTCGATGTACCGGATGAGTATAAGGTTTGTCGCGTGAACAATATTTTTTGAAGCTTTTTGGGTTTTTGGATGTTGGTGCTGGATTCCCCTCTTTTCTCCTACTGCTGTCCTCTACTTATTTCTTTTCGATCGATACCGATCGATGAAGAGCTATTTACTATCACTGATTGTTATTTTCCGTTTCTTCCAGTCTGCTTTTGATTCCGGGATTCTAGTTCAAGTGAGTTCCGTGTGTGCACGTAGTGGTGCATGTGTAACGGCTTCATTGCATGCGTTTTGTTTAGATTCTAGAAATCAATTCAAAGTCGAAAAACATCACCTCCTGGCCTGATCGCCATCAGTGTCAGACCGCGAAGTCCTAAGGTTTTTCACTGGCTACTGTAGCCTTTTGTCCTAAGTGGCCAGAGAAAAACGCTGATTCTAAGGACAAAGAGCATGTTGTCAGCGGAAAACAAGGGGGAACTACGAAGCTGGTGAACTTTTGTAGAATAGTCCCTCGTCGATGCTGCCGAAATTGCTACCATTCTTTGGGCATCAGATCCCTTTTGACTACTGTATATCTTCCTCTCTTAACTTATTAAGAGCGAAAAAAAAACTTAATGACATTTTTGTATTTTTGGCATTGATTTTTGACAGGACCGTTCCTATCAAAGTGGTAGCGGCCTGTAATCCCATTGTAACAACCCATGCCCTTACTTTACATTTGGAAACGATCAAATATGTTACATGAACCCCGTAAACCTGGTTTAACTGAAAAATGGACGAGCTTTATTGTAACATGAGAATGGACGAGTTTTCTTGTAGGTGGGGCGCGGACGCGTTTCATTGCCTGACCCTCTTTTCTTTTACCGATTATCTTCTTACCGGAGTTTTTTTCAAGTTTCGATTTGAATTTTAGAATTTTTGGATTTTACGAACACTTTGGCAACACTCTTAGACCTTAACTTTTTACCTTTTATTTTTACCCGAACCTGACGGCACTCGGTCGAATCGGTTCTGGGAACCAAACCTATAGACCAATCAGCCGGCTGTGAATAAATTTGTCAATCGAATATCATGCCAGCTGACCCTCTTTATAGCTGAACAAATACAACCCTAAAAAGTGAAAAAACAATTGAGCGACTTGTCAGCAAATTCAATTCTTTCGGGAAACTGATTTCCACCCTTTATTCAGTCGCCCACTCCCTCTTCAGCCACTTCAGACTTCAGGGTCCTTCAGTTTCTGACAATGTAAATACTTTTGCTCCAGTGTAGGCTATCTGACTGCCGTGTGCATGTATATTGATTACTTTATGTGTGGCCAAACTAAGTTTCAAAAATAGTATCCCAAGCAGGAAGGAGTCAGGCGGAATGCATTCCGAAGGCTCCTTTCGGTGTCCTCACCTCTGCAGCGAGTCTTGTCACAAAACCTGTCGCGGGTGCGAAAGAAGCCGTCAGAACAAGCTCCGATTCAAAACCGAATCAGACACCCTATTGAATTTGGCCTAGGAAATGCAGTTGTCAGGAAAAAGGGGTAAGGGAAGGGAGACTCGGTGATGTCAGGTGGATGGCGATATAACAAAAACCGTGCGAGTGGCACCGTCGGCTCGTGCCGGCACTGCCCTTTGCCAAAAAACTGAACCATTACGACGAGCTTTCCCAGATGAATACGTATATTTCGAAAGNTCGGCTCGTGCCGGCACTGCCCTTTGCCGAAAAACTGAACCATTACGACGAGCTTTCTCAGATGAATACGTATATTTCGAAAGGATATATGTATATAAATTCGAATCGAACGTGGAGTAGTAGCAAGTGGCGCCGCTACGACTCCTATGGTCAGGGTTGAAAATCGCGGAACCGAGGCGGTTCCATCTGAGATCAACCAAACTACCCATCCTTTGGGTTCGAATAACCGGTATAGGGCTCGTCCAGAATGATAATGATACCGTCTAGAGCATGGGGCTCGCAAATGATTGTGTAGGACAAATCAGCACTCATACACCTTTGCGCTTCTGAGTGAATGTCATATGCATGGCTCATCATCAAAGCGGGATTAGCCCCCATCAGAAAATCCGACCTTTGCCCATGTAAACAATTTCTACTATGTCCCTACAAGTAATGTACTAATTGAATTTTGTTTTCTACCCACGTATTGAGAATGCGTGTGTGTTTAGAGTAGGAGTGAAGTCTAATAGCGGTCTACCCCAGTGTTTTCTTTGTGTTCTTCCTAAATTGCATGTGATTTGATACAACAAACGCTGTTGTCCGTACGGTTTCTGTAACTTTATTTGAAGGGTTGAAATAATCGATTGGAATCGAATATCGATTTATTGCTGATTATTATGGATTTTTAGGAACTAGCAAAGGAATTCGCATCATGGTCAAAGACATTGGATGATATTGCTGTATGGCTTGAGGAAGGTGAACGACGGAATAACGAACGATTCCATGATCAATTTGCTCATGCAAAGGTTTGTTTATTCGGATTAATCTCATCCAGTTGGACATTCAGCAACTGATTAACTTGGACGATTTTTTGGTCTACCATCTTTTTATTATAGTTTCCCTTGTGAAATCGTCTAGCCAATAGATAGGAAGATTCCTTTCTTTCTCATATTACCTATACTCTAGCGAAGAAAACTAAATTATTAATCACTTACTAAAAATACTTTTTGGAAAATCCTTCTCTTGAAAATTGCAGGTCGATTCAAATTCGGAGGTTCCATACTTCTCAAAATTTTTAGAACATCTTCTCGGAGCTGAGCCAGAAATTCGCCGATTTCAAACATCCGAAATCGTTTGTGGAAAAACTCGATCGTACTATTCACAAACTTGACGATGTTGAAAATTCTCTCGATGATATGACAGGTACTTTCGGAATAATTATTTTTTTATTGACTTTTATGGGTAGATTTTGGGTGAAGACCTTAATGGTCATTTTTGAGCAAGGAAAAACTGATCAAAGCGTAGGAATACTCGTATTAATACACCATCAGTTTCTAAGTTGGACTGAATGTGGGAGGAGCGATCTGGTGTGAAATGGGATTGCCCCGCCCACATTTAGCTTTTAGTAGGCCTACCCTTCACTAATGGATCTTCCGCTTCATTGGAAAGAAAGCGTAGGTGACCACCTGAAACGCTATAAGAGCACCACATGAAACAGGAAACGTCTTTAGAAGAATTGTCACTTTATTTTTTTAAAGTGTTTTTGAATGGACTGTTTTGAAGGTATCGAAGCGATATTCTGTTCGGAATCGTTGGATGAAGCTCGACTGTTGGTAAAGAAGCTCATTACACTTGAAGAAGACGTTCACAGTCTAGAAAAAGGCAAAGAGCAGTTAATTCAGGTGCGGTGAATTAATTTTTTTGTCTTTCTCTGCCAATCAACTTTCTTTTTTTGCGTTTTTGCCAAATTGGCTAGGTCCTTACTACTCAAAGGGGTGTGGTGCAGCAGGAACGAAATTTTCGCGTCGCGGTGGGAGAGACGCCGCGCGCGAAGGAATGTGGCAGAATGCAGCAGCAAGTAAGAAATTCAGGAACAAAAGACTAACAGTAGAATTATGTTAAAAATTATTAATCGCATAACGATAGAGCTGTATGAAGAACGCTAGAACTGTTATAACAAAACAAATGGTCCGCGACAGCCGCGTGCGGCGGATCGATTACACAAAACTGTTCCTACGCCCGTCTCCCCTACTGAAAGGACTCTATCTATTGCAAAATAAATTGCCTCCACTTTTGGTTTTCTTGTTTTGGTTATTTTATTTATTTATTACTTATTTACTAGTTTGGACGTTATATTATGATTTTTTGCTTTTTCTTCTGCAATCGAATTGTTTTTCGCTATTACATCTCCCGGGCGAGTTTGGCGGCACAATCCAACGTCTGCCCTTCTTCGTTGATCCGAAAAAACAAAATCAGTTCCAGAAAAATTGTTTCCGTTAATAAATATGTGCTATACTTTTTTTCGTGTATGTAATAGTATTTTTTGGTTTGATATTATATGTACATTACTTTAGCCTTATTTCGTTATTTTCTCATTTTTATAGTTAAAAAAGGTTTTGAAGACTTCGAATCAATTTCAGGAAGGAATCTTCGACAAAGAATCGGCTGCACCCTTTACAGAAAAGATACGTCAGTGCAAGAAAAAGACGAAGGAGCTCGGATTGGTTAGTCGTTTTCATGAATTCTTTATTAACTGGTAACTATCTAGCTGATGATACCATCGATTTTCTTTATTTGTGGTAAATGGGGACCACTCTTCTATTCGGAAGAATTTTCATACATGCTTAAACATTGCATGGCAAAGTTATGACTAACGGTGTACATTCAATCGTTTCTTGAATCTGATTAGCAGTGGTGTGCATGGCGCATCTTTAACCTGTACCGACTTGAAGTTGGTCATTTTCAGAGAGCCGAGGATACAGTAGAACGTCTAGAGGATTGCGTTGACATGTACGGTAAGCTTCTGAAGGAATCAGAGGCTGTAGAAGAATTTCTGGATCAACTGGAATATCGCCTTGACAAGTACGCATCGGAAGATAAAGTGAGCCATCGAAAAATGTTTAGAGATGACGCAAATTATTGATTCATGGTTTATTGATTTATTGATCGCAGGCGAATGACGAAGAGGTTGTTGACGAGTTAGTAAGCGAATGGAATCGTCACGAAGCTTCACTGAAGAATTTGGAGGAACTTGAACGGTTACTGCGTGAAAATGCAGTGAAGATTAGTGAAAGTGTTTGTGTAGAGAAACGACGCAGAGCTGATGCACTGAAAATGCGACTGGACGGTTGGAGTAGGACTGTACAGGTGAGCCTTATGGGATTATACTTTTTAGAAGCATGGCGCGAAACGAATCAGGAGGCGGGGCTACTCGTCCGCGTGCGGTTGCGGTGCGTCCCACTATTTTCGATTTGGAAAATACTTTTTTCCCAACAGTAGATTTGAACGTCAAAAGCTGTCAAGGGCAATTAATGAAAACAATCAAAGGAAAGTAGACAAAAGGTTTATTTCTAATAAGAAGTACTACTCCAACGATCAGTTTTCCGTGAGATTCGCACCGCTGTTGATATAGAACTATTCACCACTCCTGAAAAAGGCACTTACAGTAAGAGGGTATGAGTAAGAGCATCTAAAACCCACTGGATTTAAACATAATAAGTAATTGTAGCTACCGACAACTGTTCACAGAACACGCGTTGCGACCGCGCGCGTACTTGATAATAGGGGCTCCATTTTGCCTTTCCATGGAGGTTGCTGGGCAAACTTCAAGAATTGTTGAGTTCCACTGAAAAACTGATATGGGAGGAGCACAAAAAGTGGCTTCCCATCTCGATCTTGAACAGGAGCTTCCAAAACCTCGGTCAGCTGCAAGGGGTAACTGGTTCCTAATGATATTCGAGTCAGCTCCCTCCTAGACTGCACTTTGCTGTTTCCAAGTCGCTGCTGACTTTCCTACGGGCTATAGCATAAGAAGCTGACGAGAATCGAACAAAAAAGTGTTCAATCAGATCGATCTTGTGAAATTTTTCGTAACAAAACCCTTTGGACAAATGGCACCGTGTAGCCATCAATTACGATCGGCTAACGTTGATAAATGTGACCTCCGTTTCGTTCTCACATCAATTGTTCCTTCGTTCTGCCATCCTTCCTTCCTACTACTATTTTCTTTTCAATTTTCTTTTTTCCAGTCATATTTCCTCCTATTTTTTGTAGGAGATGAACAACGATGAGGATACGCTGTTGATGCAAGTTGATGAACTTCATGACTATTTGGTAAATGAGCTCGACAAGGTCAAAGATAAAGAACCAGAAGAGGTACGTGGTTCCCGTCACCCGGGGTTGTTCTGTAGGCCTCCCATATGTTTTTTCCTCTTCAGATCGCCAGCACACTACGATTTCTCCGCGGCGATCGCGATCGATTATCGTCGCGCGCGCGGAAACTCGCCGCAATCAATCCGCGAATGGCGAACGCGAATCTGTGCGGCGATGTGACGGACCGTTGGCAACGGCTCGAATCTCGACTACACGCACCGCCCACCGCACCGCAAGCGGTGGAAATTGATGGAGCAGAGTTGAATGTCGACTTACCGTTCCATGAAAAGGTATGTTCGGGGGATTCTTCTTCATTCTATGCCTGAACTCTCGAAATTCATTTTTTTTGGTATTTTATTATCTATTTTCTGAATTTAATGAAATTTCTTGATAACTATTCTTTCTGCCAACGTAATAGAGGCTAACTTTTAATTTTTATCCTCTCAGTGAGTTCACCTAGAAGGGTCTGGGCACTTCTCCCAAATCGGTGTGTTGCTCTCGCCCAAAAAAAGCAATCATGAGAAAGGTAAAAAGCGAAACAGGTAGCAAAAAATGGGGACTATCGAGGAGGCGGGTCGTATACGATAGATGCAGTTCGAAGTTCGCGAGACAACTGAAAAAGATTTGCCGCACGCGGCAAAGCGAGCGTGGAAATTCGGGGAGAGCTCCGCCACCATACCTAGAAGACCTTATTTCCTGGTAGTGGTGGAGGTTGAGGCTTACCGTTAGTTCTGGCTAGTATCGTATCATCTATGGGGCCTGTATCCTCCTGGGATGTTTACACCCTTTTTACCTAACTATGGCTTGGCTTGATCTAGGTTAACGTTTTTTTTTTGAAAGGGATGGCACTAGGTCTAGTTTTGTGCCAATTTTTTCACTCAGTCTTAGTCTTAGGTCCCTCTGTGTCAATTCCTGTCACACATTTTTTTCTCACTGGCTTTCAAACTATATCTGCTCCGAATGACTGGGTTTTCTGCTAGTCTGGCTTTCAAATTTTTTTTTACTTTCGAAATGCTGCCCTTTTTTTTGGGTAATATGTCTGCTATCACAATTGATTATCTGCGAAGACTATTCTCAACAAGAGAATCTTATAAACGCTTCCCATGGCCTAATAAGGCAGATTTGTTTGAGTTACAAAATTTTCAACGCTTTTACTTGTCTCAGATGTTGTTGTTTTCTTTGCAAAAAAAACGTCGATAACACCTTCGTTGAAGACGGATTTGTCTGCCATGTCCAAACAATTTTCTTAAGAATCTGCTTGAGGCGATAAACAATCAGAACCTTTTCAAAATAANTTTTTTTTTATTTTTCGAAATGCTGCCCGATCTGCAACAATGCAAAGTTAATTTTTTTGGGTAATATGTCTGCTATCACAATTGATTATCTGCGAAAACTATTCTCAACAAGAGAATCTCATAAACGCTTCCCATGGCCTAATAAGGCAGATTTGTTTGAGTTACAAAATTTTCAACGCTTTTACTTGTCTCAGATGTTGTTGTTTTCTTTGCAAAAAAAANAAAAAAAAACGTCGATAACACCTTCGTTGAAGACGGATTTGTCTGCCATGTCCAAACAATTTTCTTAAGAATCTGCTTGAGGCGATAAACAATCAGAACCTTTTCAAAATAAGCTGAATCGATTTCATTTTTTCAGATTGATTTGCTCAAAAATTGCTTTGATAAAGCCAAAGCAAGTCTGGACTTTGATACGTCTCCAGTCAGCAGTGTCATCCAATGGGATAAACGACTTAAGGTAAGTTATAGGTACAGTAACCCTAGTGACTCCATCTGCCAAGTAGCTCAATGAGTAAGTGTAGGCTGTGGATAACTTTCTTACCGAGTCACGTACTGCCCTCAACGATGTCATCGACAAAGGGCGGAGTCTGGCAAATAGCGGCCGTATGGAACTCGACACTCATCGTGCTATCGAGAAACTCGACGACATTGTCGATATCGCTGATCAGGTATCGAGCTTCAGCAGGCTAACATTTTTCTTATTTTTTCCTAACTTTTTTTCAAATTTATTTTTGCTCTACCCTGACCCTGTGCCTCCTCTACCGTACCATCTACGGTACTGTACATATGGATCTAGATTTGTAGCAGAACTTTTTTTAAAAACTACTTTTTTCGATTTTTTTAAGTTCAATATTTTACTGAATTGAGAAGGTCGAAAGCTTATTTCATTTGATAACTGCTCTACGAAAAATTTGGATCAAACCCAAAGGCTGGGTCTCACTGGATCACTAGGTCTTACTAGAAGCAGTTTCCTGTTTCAGGCGTCACTTTTTCTGCCAATCACGCCGGCTTATAATAACAACAATTCGATAAACAAAGCTCGCTTCCTATATCCGTAAACATCCTTAAATCATATATTAACCGCTTTGGCGATGAACTAGCCGATTCCCGTCCTTTCGCATATTTCTTGGTCCCATATTCGCCTGTTGTATCTGATTCGAGTTGTGTTTTACCCCTTTTGCTTGTTTTCGCCTTCTGACATGTAAACAAAAACACCCCCCAATTTTAGCGATTTCTTCCCAACTTCGAAAGATCTTATTTTTTTCAGCGGGTGCTGCTTAGCCAGATCCATCTAACCTCTCTTTTACCGTAATCCCTTCAGGTACTTTTTCGGGACGCTTTGACTTATTTTTTGAATTCGACGGAATCGAAGGTGTCAACATTTTTTGCGTGGCTCCTTAATTACTGATCTCTAAGAAGAATCCTCAAGTTTAGGATTTTTTTTTCGGAAACAAGTGAAATCTGAATTCAAGCTCTACGTCTCAATTTCCATTATTTTCTTTTTGACTGTCCTTCTTCAACTAAATTTTGGAATGTTTGAAGAGTTTTTTTCTGTGAGCCATGATATGACCTCTCCTTAACCGTACCGTCGTACCATACATACTCTACTGATCGTTGACCTGAATAAGATGTCTCGACTGAAGTATTCCTATGAGAAAAAACGACGATCAAATTAGACCGAAGGACAACCGTATTATGATTAAGTTCCGAATTGGATGTCTATCAATGTCCTCATTTTAATATCATGGTTTTCGGTAAAGGTCACGCCACGAACTACCTAGATTTTATGAGCACTGTAACAATTCTACTGACTCGAGAAAAATGCCGGTTCATAGACGGACCAGATGTTCAATGAAATCAACTGGCTCCTTGGCAAAATTTAGGACAATATCCCTATTCCCAATGAATTCGGACATATTAGAGTCCGGGGAAATCGTGTACGTACGACAGAGACGCAGTGTGAAGCATTCGCTTACCACTGGTAACCATTGGGATCATCAGTTATCCTGAAAAGTGTTTCTCTTCAACTCCCAAATTTTTTGGTTTTCTGTCGAATTGCGATAACTTATACGTTCCCACACTAGGATCCCGGAAAGGCAGGGGTTCCATCCATCGCGGTATTTCTTACATATACTGTAATGAACGGTCTTTAGCTTGCCTCTTGAAGTATTTAAATATAGGCCTTTTTACCTCACTCCTCCCCTTTTGCTGCTATTTTCGCGGCGTATGCTTGACTCTAGAACCTCCTGGAAACTTCTGAATGGATTCACAGCATGTGCCGTTTCGCTGTTAATGTCAAATGAGTAGCGGGAACAAATATTTATTCATCTATTGCTGATGCTATAACATCTTTGATGCTCTACCGGAAAGCGGACGAATTTTCAGGTGCTATTCACGATAGGCTGTGTTATGTTGGTATGTTTACCTAACCTTTCTGGCCCTGGAAAACCGGGATTTCTCGTACTTTTGTAATTCGGTTACTTCTAGTTCTTCGTAGCATGAGTGCTAAATGCCAACAAACGGCCGAATGAATAGATTAGAAGGACGGGAAAAGCTCCGAATGACGTACTTTTTTCCAGTTATCATCGGTATGACTCAGCCGATCGCTTAGTCAGTTCGCTTCAGTTCTCCGTTCTCCTCCTGCTTTAGTGACTCTTCAGTTTTCTCCTCTCTATTCTTCTGTATTTCATTCTTGTTTTTCTTTCTCTTAGACTCCATATAACTATTTTGAAGATGGTCAATTTATTAAGTATTCCACTAACCTAAGAGACAGGTTAAATATTTCCAGTTAATTTTATTTTAGACTTACTGCTCTTTGGTGATGTTTATGAGGGTTTAGTCGATCTTCAGGACTCATAACTATTATTACACTTTGAATAAAACTAAAAATATTTATGACTAATACTGGGCGGAGGTGGTGTAGTAGCAAGTGGCGCACTTCACACACGCGTGGTCACAGGTTCGAATCGCTTATCGACATCCGCCCAGGCCAACCAAGCTTTCCATCCCTCCGAGGTCGGCAAATTGGTATCCGTCTGGGAGGATAAAAGCACTGAGTTGTACGTCGGCTGGCCACCGCAAGTTATTGTATAGGCCACATACGCACTCATTACGCCACTACGATTCTGAATGGAAGTCGAATGCGGGGGCGCATCCCTCAGACGGGATTGATAAACGCCAAAAACTTCATCCTTTTATCCTTTATGACTAATACTAGAACTATGAACTGGTCTTACCCGTGGGCATGAAGTAATACTCGAGAGCGTTGCTAACTTCCTACAACATTGATTTCAAAAAGGGAACTGGTTTTTTACGAATGCACTCGCTCGATTTTTTTCAGCGGCTTTTGAATCGCTAAAATGGAACGGCTCAGCTGACAAATTCATTAGCTGCTTGAGTGAGTTGTGGGAGCTGTCAGCAGGGAAAGGGTCTCTCGGGAACTACAACTAATCTTCAAGCTCATTCCATCAAATCTGGGCAGATATTGCATGAATTCTCAATTCATTCAACTAAAGAATTTATTTCAGCTCGAAATGGAACTGGATTCTCAAAAAGCAGTCCTGGACCCATTGTTGGCCGAAGCCGAAGCGGTCGATAAAGATCGCGAAGCAGCCGAAGCAGTCGTGGACGCATTGGCCTCTCGAAATCTGAACGATCCTGCCATAGCAAGTGTAAGTTGGAAATTGATTTTTTAAACTATTTTTATTTCCATCTATTTTGTAAAGAATGTCGTTGTTTTAGGCCACGCGACAAGACCTCGCCGATCGCGATTCACAGTTCGCCGCGCTATCGCAGCGAGCCGCTGCGATTCATGCCGCCTTACCAGGGAAGTCTAGCGCCAGTCGCGATACCACCCTGGCGACACTGTACGAAAAACTGAACCGACTTGAAACCCTGCTCTTGCAACCGGGTTCACGTTCGATAGCCACTGCGACACCGATTCGAACTTCTCCCGACAGGACCAGTATGAGCAGTACGGGATTAGGTCACCTACTGAACGTTTTATTTTCAATCGATTTATTGATTACTTAAACTTTTTTTTAGCTATGGAAGTTGGCAACGTGACCGATGCTTACACCACAGAGGAGGAGATGAAGGAGGATCAGTCAGAAGCAGCCGAGCCTAAGCCTACTATAATCAGAGTAGGTGAATCTGCTGCTCCTCTAGAAGAGAAGAAGGAAGAGGCCAAGGAAAAACTCGAGGAACAACCTGAACCGAGTCAAGAAGATGCCAAACCACCTATGCCTCCGCCAAGGGAGCACATTCCTGCACCCATTCAAGATGAAGGTCCTCCCTCGCCGAAAGCCCGCAAAATAGTTCTACCATCAGAAAAAACTATACCCGAGGAAGAAGTACCACCATCGGTCAATGGAGAAGTATCGGTGAATGGTGTCAAGGAGACTGTAATTGATGAGCCAACGATTTCCGTATCTTTTACACGACCGACGATGGTCACAATGAGTGTCGAAGAGGATCTGAGTAGTACTGCTGAAGCACCGTCGAAATCGTCTCCACCATCTTCGGATGAAATGGAGGAGGTACTTCATTACCGTATGAGCAAGGCTACCGTAACCAATTGATTATTGATTTTTTCAGGTTTACAAAAGTCTCGATCAGATTGAAGAAGCGTTAACGCTTGATGAGCATTATCCTATGGAGGGCATCGATGATTTCGAGGAAAGATATGCGGTACGGTAGATTTTTGGAATTTGTCGGTTAAGGGGATTGTCAAAATAACTATCCGAGAGTCGATGAAATCTCAATCGATAGCTGACTCCAAATCCGTATCCCATGCCTTCGATAAGCCCCCTATGCAAATCAATGAAACTCCATTAGGGTCAAAGGGCCAGGCCAGGCAGTCCAGCGGAGTGGGTTTCCGAGAACAGATCGGAGGTGGGTAGAAAGAGAGGATAACACAAGGTGAAGAAGGTGAAGAAGGGGGGGGGGGGGGGGGGGGGGGGGGGA